CATACCGGGGAAAAACTAATTTGTTTGTCAACTGGCAAGAATAAGCTACGTTTAAGAAGGATGGACTACCTACAAACAGGGAAGATTTTTGGATAGTCGTACTTCGACACCAGGCATTTAAAGATGTGGCCACTTTCGCCCTTACTTGCCTAATAATGCCCGTTAGCAATGCTGTAGTTGAGAGAATATTCTCTCTTGTTACTTCAACTAAATCAAAAGCAAGAAACAAAATAGAACTGGATTTTCTTGATGCAGTTGTCAGAATAGAGCAGAACTATTGATATCAAAGAAATGTTGCAAAGACTTCATTCCATCTGAGAAAATGCTTTAAGATTTTACATCCTAAAAGGTTTATGCTGCATCTTCAACTGGTTCCAGTGAGGATGACAGTGAAGAATTCAATTTAGAGCTTTTGATGTGAAGTCAGTACAATGTTACACTTTATTTGGCAATTTTCTGGCATATTTTGGGTGATGGTTTGGTATAAAATGACATTTTTTATCTGGCAACCTTGCGGCTCACAGGGGATTGATTTCCCAAAGGGACGAGTCGAGCCAGGGTTGCCATATTGGTATTTTTTATGCCAGATCCCACAAATTTGGCATATTTGAAACTGAACTGACATAAGATAATGAACTGTCATATTTTGGCATATTTGGGTTTTTCCTGGCTTTTCTTATCAAAAGGTGCTCACATTTTCTTCATGGTTCCTCCGTTAAAAACACGCAGATTTACTAAAGGCAATTTAGATCTACAGTTAACATCTTTATTTCAGTTTTACTTTGTTGTGATGTCCTCGTACGGACTAACGGAGATTCGCGCCATTTCTTATTGTATTTAGTGTCTTTCTAATCGGGTCGTGATAAACCAAGGCCTTCTGTAATTTATGTTAACCTACTAGAATAAATGCGGGATATAAAACCAAAACCCACCACTGATACCAAGTGATTCAGACTGTTCAGAAACTACTCGAGGACAGAAAATAGAGAGGATATATACCTAGTCCTATCAATGATAGATATTACTTTTACCAATGGCCACGTCATCCCAAATTATGGAAAGCATCTTATGAAATCACAAATATAATAGTAACTGGAAGAAAACATACCCACGGTTCAAAAGATCTTCAGACGGATCAGAGGCAGCATATTGTAAACCGTATCAGTGCACTGTTGCACCAAGAATTAGTAGCATATCAAATCATGAAAAATCTGAAAAACACAGGATGAAAACTTTGTCAAAAAGTGAGTCACAGCTTATTACAACAATGACTCCTAGGCAAAGTAATGATAAAGTTAAAGGCAGCAGAGTTGCAACTTGCTGTAGACATGACCTGCCATTGTTCAATACGCACAATTGATGATCTGAGTAAAATCATAAGAGCGCATTGTCAAGGAGTACAATGGAGCACATACAGTTGCATTTAACTAAATGTTCATGCCTAATAAAAAAAAAATTATATCATCATCATCATCATATGATGCTCATGCCTAAAAATAAATATTATATCGCCTGCACTTAATTCAGATGTCTTGAAAGAAACTGATTCATGATGTTGAACTGATTTCCCACACCAGAAAGAGACAATCTACACTCTTCAGTAATGTCATAAGAAGAAAACTAGAGTGCATCGTGACAGTGGGTAAGTTAGTGGAGAGGTAGAGGGAGATTGAAGGAGACAATTTTGGACAGTTAAAAATTATGGCATGGAAAATCATCTGTGCCATAAATGATTGAAAGTACACGAGACAGAGGGTTGTGGGTAGACGTGACTTCCTATGCTAAATAGAATTCCAGAGAAATTTGACTGAAAAGCTCAACAAAATGGGGAAGCAGAAAAACGTGCACAAAACAACACAAATAACGTAACGTTTCAGCCTTTGTCAAACAGCACAAAAATGCTACATAGCATGGACTATAGAAACAAGTATTTATAAACTAAGGTTTCTAGGACATCCGCTAACTATTCATATATTTAGAACAATAAGAGGTGTGACAGCTGCCCAAGCTGACCACAACCTCCCCTCGATAAGTTATATATCTTCATTTTGTGACCGTTTGGTTACTACTAAATCTGCTTATTTGTAGCGGAAATTACGCTGAATCTTTTGTACAATGCATTGTGGAAAGATGTCAAGTATTTCTGCTGTTTCGATTCATTTGTTTCAACAAACCCCTTTCCTGTTACTTATGTTTGCGTTCGACTGATTACTAAAAAGCATCTGACATTTAAATTGAAAAGCAGGATGACAACTCCATAGACTAAAGTATTCACAATTTAGCAGGATATTTCCCTTAGTAATAATGCAAGGTGGCCTTAATGGTGACTTTCGGAACAAGAAATATGCCATCATTATAGATGAGTTGCAAAGATTTCATCCCATCTGAGAAAATGCTTAAGATTTTATATCCGAAAAGGTTTACGCTGTGTCTTCCACTTGTTCCAGTGAGGATGACAGCGAAGAATTCAATCTAGAGCTTTTGATGTGAAGTGAGTACAATGTAACATTTTATCTGGCATTTTTTGGCATATTTTGGGCAAAGGTTTGGCATAAAATGAATTTTTTTTTATCTGGCAACCCTGAGTCGAGCCCTTGTTGAGGCTGAGGAGGCAAAGTGACTTTTCTGGAACATTTGGTCCCATCTGAGTGAAAACCAAAATGTCTTTAGCTCGTCAAAACTATTCTGAAGAGTGTGAAGCGGCCGTTAACCGTCAGATTAACTTGGAACTTTACGCCAACTATGTGTATTTGTCTATGGTACTCTTTTACTTTTACTCTTACTAACTCTTAGTCTTAGTCTTTAGACTCGTACTTATTTTAAATTATTATTAAATTAAATTGTAGCCTGTAAATTTCTTTCTTAAACTCAGTTATATAAATATATTACTGTTAATTAGTTTTGACTTTTAAGTCAACTACTTGTTAAAACGACAAGAGGGAACGACACAAATGACGTAATTATTGTGTGTTGGCGATAGATGCACTGCTGTCATAATAATATTAATAGGGCTTGGGTTAGGAGTGGCCGTAGTTTTAATGAGTACCAATACCCTAACCCTAGTATTATGACAGCAGTGCATCTATCGCCAACACACAGTAATTACGTCATTTGTGTCGTTCCCACTGGTCCACTCCGTAATTGCTATGCGGCCTGGGGACTGAACTCCTGCATACTCCCTAATAAGTGGTTGTAGTTTTAAGGAGAACCTACTATGTTAATATTTTAATTTCTTCACTTTCTATTTCAGTTTATTCAAGATATTATACTTTACTGAGTTCTTCAAAGTTAACCACAAAATTAATAATTTTATGTGGGTGTGGCCCAAAAGTCTTGCTTTGAATCCTCAGCAAAACAGATTTGACATTTGTAAAAAAAAAATGGATCTTAGCTCCCATTTTCCAGACAAAATGGATATCATGTATGGTAATGACCGGGGAAGTAAAGGCGCCCAGCAGGATGGTGACCTCATCACCCACTGGGAGCTGACTGGTTTACTAAAAAATGTGATTCTAGCTTAATGTGCCTGATGTGCCGCTAGTGTAACAGAGGTCCTTAACTATATAAACACACAGTATTAAGGCTAACAACCGTTGTATGTGAAAATTGCTCTGGTCTTTTCAGAATTCATGGCATTTATTTATTTTTTTTAAATTTCGTTTATGTTGATTTCATCTTGTATGTGTGGTTCACATTTTCTAAAGATGTATGCATGCATCAATAAATCAAATAGCTGGGAACAAGATTGATAGAAGATGGTAAATTTGATATAGACATTAACATCCAATGCAGTGAATGTAAACCAAGTATTGGGGTAGTTAGCCCTTTCCTTTTCCTGCGCCTTACATTCTTCTTTACCACAAATGGCAGCCCCGATCAGCACAGAAACATCTCATTCAAAGCATATTAATTCCACATCGGAACAAAAACATGAGAGAACAAAATTCAGCATAGAACAAATTCTGAATTACAAATACAGCAAATAAAATAGTTTCTGACTTAGAATTCAGAATAGAAAGCATATACCAAAGAAGAGAGTTATATAGAACAAGAGGTATACCAATAACAAGATGGAAAAATAGTATAACAGGAACTCTAAAAAAGCACAATGCATCTGTGACTGATATGGCCAGAAGAGCAAGGAGCAGAACCTTATATCTCCCTCAACCTCTGGAGCAATAAAAGAGGAAGTGAAAGAAGAAGCTCAGTAGTAACTATTGACTATTTTATGTTTTGATTCTTCTTCTTAAAATTCCATGTTGTTTGGTGTTGGTAGTCATGTCTGTGCACAGTCTTCTGTCTTGTGTACTTTGTCAACTCTGATACAGATGATCCTCAATGCCATGAAGTCAGATTGTCCAGCATCTTCTCCCTCGTTCTCCCTCTGCCCTCCAACTTTCCTACTGTCATGATGTACTTCAGTTTTCTCCATCTCATGACGTGACCAAAGAATGTAGTCTCCTTCTGATGTGGGCAATCAGTTCTCTTAGTGAGTCAGTTTCTTTCATGTCATATTCATTACTCTTTTTATCTGTCCAGTGTATTATCATCATTCGTCTATGAAACTACAACTATGCAGCTTCCAAAAAAGTTTTTAACTAATTTACCAGCTGTCCATGATTTCCTAATGTATATTAAGATAGGATTTATATAGATGTTTTGATTGATGATGGTTATTATAAATAAATTTTTATACACACAGACACATTATGTCATTATACTGTAACTATACTTTTAGACAATTATTATCGATTGTTGTACAAATTTGGCTTTTTGTTTGCAAAATACTCACAATAAGTTACAGTTTCTTTTTGGGTGGGTTATCCTAGCCATCCTCTGCCTAGCACAGTTAAAGTGATGACCAGTACCAAAAAACTTCTCAGCTGCCATCACCTGCCTGCCATGAATGGCTTCACGTAACTGTTCGGGGAGCTAAGTGGACAGTTATTAACACATAACAAAATTAGATGTCACTAAATAATTATACTTCTAAACTGATTTGTCCAGGCCTACCATTTTGACAGAGAAGATGTGGCCCTTCCAGGCTTCCTCAAGTTTTTCCAAAAATTGTCTGATGAGGAGAGGGAACGTGCTGAGAAATTGATGAAGTATCAGAACACTAGAGGTGGCCGAGTTCTTCTGCAGGACGTCAAGGTGGGGCATTTTTCTTTATAGATACATTTGAAAATATCTTCTTCTCATTGTTCTCCTGCTGTAAATTATAGTCGTTTGCAGACTTCTGGACTTCAGTCTTGTTCCGGATCAGGAATTCTATGTGCACATCAGTCTTACAGATCTGGCTTGCTTGTATGCAGACTGTAAGTTCCTCATCGCTCAGTCAGATGTACTGCAACCTGGAAGGAAAATCCCTAATTATTTGCCTTGTATGACTTGCTTGTTAGGGAGGCAGTGGGTCTATTCATTCTTTCCTGAAAGTAGTTGGTCTGTTCATTCTTCCTTGAAATCCATTGGAGAAAAGTTGGAGAGTATTTTATGTAGAGTTTTTGTAACTGCCTGGACAAAAAATAGTAACATGTTTTAAGAGAATAATTACAGTAAAAAAAATAAGACTGTTGCTTTTACTAATAGCCTTTATTTGTTGAGGATTGGCTGGCTGTATGGTTAAAATGATGGCCCCTCATGTAGAAGACCTGGGTTTGATCCTTATTAAGAGATGGAGATTTTTTTTTGGTCAAGGGCAAGCATAAAAATCCTGACCTGCACAGGTCATGGTGACTGAACTAGCCATGCAGCCTTAAATCCTCGGCCTCAGGAATTCCCTGCCCTACACCACCCTTTAAAATTGTTGAGGATTAGTGAATGGAATGACCACATTTTCTGTTTGTGCCATTTGAAAGTAACAGTTGTTCATTTAGAGTTGTACATCATCATGTAGCAGGTTTTATGCTGATATTATCAATGCCCTCAGAGAAATGGGAAGGATAGAGGACTTTGGTGGCAGTGAATCCACATCTCTCGCCAGAATGGCAGACTTGGGAATTAAGATCGGCACAGCAAAAAACGAGACGCACACCAGACATGCTAGAAGACTTGTTAATCAACATAGAACTGGTACTATTAGCCATCGGACGTTGGGATTCATACTGAGGGGAGGATCTGAGCACCTATGGACATGTCCGGAGTGCAATGATGATAACCCAACTAACTAACTAACTAACTAACTAACAAATGTAGCAGGTTTTGTGCAGAAAGTCCTTTCCATCACAAGCTGTCTGAAAGGTATTCATTCTAGTGTGATGTGTCTGATGCGCCAAGAAGATGCTTATAAGAAAAGTCTCTTGCTTTACTTTTAAATATCTAACATATTATGGCTTAGAGCGCTGCTATTCAACTGGCAGCCCTTGAGTCAAATCTGGTCTGAATTAGAGTCACAGCGAATGGCCCATGGCTAGCCTACCAGTTGTAGTGAATTATTGATATCTCTTGCTGGAGCTCAGGCCTCTGACCCACAGTGATCGCCATTTCCCAACATTTTGGTCCCTGAGTAAACTTAGTTAAAGGGTCCTGGCCTAGAGTATATACAAACCTAATACTTCCCATCTGTCAGAGAATCTGGTATGGAGCTGGTCTTCCTGATACACACATTTTTGGGGGAGTATATAAATGCATTTATAACACTGAGATATTCTAAGACAGTGGTTCCAAAAATGTGAGCCGGGGAGCCATGACCTCTTCACAGGGGCGCCGCAAAATATTGTAAATGCTTCATAATTTATTCAACCAAGACACGAATTGTGATAATTTTACTGAGGTTAGGACGCCATGGACACATTTTAATAGAAAAAAGGTGCCGCGACTAAAAAAAGGTTTGGGAAACACTGTTCTAGGACATTGTAAATAAATAGGAATGAATCTGTTGTCTCCATTTTGGAAAGAGCAAAAGTGACATATTCTCTCTCTCTTTCTCTCTCTCTCTCTCTCTCTCTCTCTCTCTCTCTCTCTCTCTCTCTCTCTCTCTCTCTCTCTCTCTCTCTCTCTCTCTCTCTCTCTCTCTCTCTCTCTCTCTGTAAGTATACATGTGGATGAGTGTGTATGTATGTGGGCGCGATTGTGCCTAAGCATTTTACCACCCTGGCTTTTGAGTTTGTCTTGGTATTTATAATATGTATATTACTGTATGATCATAACAGGCTTTATTGATAAAATACAACTTCTGTTTAAAAGGTGGATGTTAGGAAGGGCTGAATGTAGGACTGGCCTGCGGGCCCAATTTGTATCCCTTTGAAAATAAAGTTTGTTCCCTATTTCTCTCACCCATCTTCAGGTGGGTTTTTTTTTAAACCCCACAAGCTCTAATACTATAACAACATAGTAGACTTTAAATTATGTAACATAAATTATATCATAAACTAAACATCACATGTAACATTTATATTTTACTAACATAAATGATATCATGAACAAAACATCACATGTAACATTTATATTATATGTAACGTAAATGATATCATGAACTAAACATCACATGTAACATTTAAATTTTATGAAACTAAATGATATCATCATGAACTAAACATCACATGTAACATTTATATTTTATGTAACATAAATGATATCATCATGAACTAAACATCACATGTACAATTTATGTTTTATGTAACATAAATGATATCATCATGAACTAAACATCACATGTAAAATTTATGTTACATGTAAAATTTATATTTTTATGTAACATAAATTATATCATCATGAACTAAACATCACATGTAACATAAATGATATCATCATGAACTAAACATCACATGTAACATTTATTTTTATGTAACATAAATTATATCATCATGAACTAAACATCACATCGCCCGTGTGTCACCGGGGCCCTAACGGGAAGCAAAGAATAGTGACACTGCACCCTACCAGGCATGTCGTAAGAGGCGACTAAGGGTAGGGTTGAGCTTGAGGTTGGCTACCTCATCCTGTAAAAACCATAGCCACAAAAACCAACCAACCATGGATAAGTCAAAAAGAGAAGCAAATAAAATCCAGCCAACCAAGATGAGGGGAGGCTCTTCAAATAGAAGAAGTATGACACAGTGTGGAGAAAGCCGTAAGGAGTCCGGATCGTTGACTTACCTCCTCTCAGCTAGGAAAACCTCCAGAATTGGCACCTGGAAAGTTAGAACTCTCTATGATATAGGGAGAACAATGGAAGTAGCAAAGATTATAGAATTAGTATTTTGGGGTTATGTGAAACTAGATGGACTGGGACAGGGAAAAGTATTCTTAATTCAGGAGAAACTATTTTGTTCTCAGGACACACAGAGGAAAATTCGCAACACAGTGAAGGAGTGGCCCTGATGCTATCAAAAGAAGCAGACAGGGCACTAATAGAATGGGAAGCTGTGAATCCCAGAATAATAAGAGCATCTTTTAGAACAGTAAAACAGAAGGTGAACATGTCGGTAATACAGTGTTATGCACCAACAAATGATAAAGATGCATCTGTTAAGGAAGAATTTTACATGCAGCTTCAAAATATTATAAATAATGAAAGAAAGGGCAACTTAAAAATTTTGATGGGTGACTTGAATGCTAAGATAGGATCAGACAACACAGGTTATGAAGAAATTATGGGGAGACATGGTCTAGGAGTAATGAATGAAAATGGAGAATTGTTCACAAATTTGTGTGCAGGTAACCAGTATGTTATTGCTGGAAGTATTTTTCCCCATAAAAGAATACACAAGGCAACATGGGAATCACCAGACCATAAGACAACTAATCAACTTGACCACATATGTATTAACAAAAAGTTTAGATCGTCCCTTTAAGATGTTAGGGCTTTCAGAGGTGCTGATGTATTTACTGACCATTTCCTGGTGATAAGTAAAATCAAGTTAAAACTAAAAAGATATATAACATCTTATAATCATAGAAACCAATATAATGTAGGCTTTCTCAGAGATAAAGAAATTAAGGAACAGTTCTCAGTTACGGTCTCTAATAAGTACCAGGTGTTGCAGCAGTTAGCTGAAGATGTCAACACAGAAGTCTGCTGGGATCAGATCAAAGGAATCTGGAATGAATCTTGCGTAGAAGTTCTCGGCAAGAAAGAAAGGAAACATAAAGCATGGATAACACCAGAAACCATTAAACTGATTGAAGATAGGAAAAGTAAAAAGGCAGAATTAAACAATAGCAAAACTAGAGCTGCTAAAGCTAGAGCTCAGGAGAATTACACAGAAGCCAACAAGGAAGTTAGGAGGCATATAAGGGCAGATAAAGTGAAATATCTAAATGATCTAGCACAAGAAGCGGAGACAGCAGCAGCAAAAGGAAACCTCAGAGAACTTTACAGTAACACAAGAAAATTAGTATATAAATATAGTCAGCCAACTGGATCAATCAAAAATAGTCAAGGAAAGGTACTTACTAACACTAAAGATCAAATGGACAGATGGGTTGAATATTTTGAAATGCTTCTAAATAGACCAGGCCCATAGGTTTCTCCAGATATCCAGCCTTTAGAAATGGAACTGGATATCAACTGTGAGATACCATCCAAAGAGGAAATTAGAAAAGCTATAAATCTTCTTAAGGAAGGAAAGGCATCAGGCCCAGATGGTATCCCAGCTGAAGCCATCAGGACCAACATAAACACATCAACAGAATTGCTACATAGATTATTCAGTAAAGTCTGGGAAACCGAAGAAATACCAGCAGACTGGAGAGAAGGATATCTTGTGAAACTGCCCAAAAAAGGTGATCTACAGGAGTGTGAAAACTATAGAGGAATTATGTTGCTGTCAGTTCCTGGAAAAATATTCAGTAGAATTATTTTGAAAAGATTAAAAGATGCTATTGATAAAATGCTAAGAGATGAGCAGGCAGGTTTTCGGTCAAACAGATCCTGTACTGATCAGATAGCCACATTACGTATTATAATAGAGCAAAGCATTGAACTGAACTCACCACTTTACATTGGATTTTTGACTACGAAAAAGCATTTGACAGCATTGATAGGGAATCTCTCTGGAAATTTATGGGGCACTATGGAATCCCACAGAAAATTATCAACTTAGTAAAGGCAACATATAAAGACATGAAATGCTGAGTTCATCATGAGGGAAAGCTAACAGATGCATTTGAAATAAAAACAGGTGTGCGACAGGGATGTCTTTTGTCGCCTCTCTTATTTTTACTGGCTATAGACTGGACTATGAAAACAGTAACTGCTAACAGCAAGAATGGAATTCAGTGGACCCCTACAAAACAGCTTGATGATCTGGACTTCGCTGATGATATTGCCCTTCTGTCCCATTCACGGAATCAGATACAAGATAAATTAAATATACTTAATGCGAGATCACAGCAGCTTGGTCTGAAAATCCATAAAGGAAAGACAAAGATAATGAGAATAAATCAGGCAAATAGTAATCTGGACTCTCTTAATGGCACCCACTTCAAGACGTGGAGTCGTACACCTATTAAGGCAGTAAGATAAAGATGGAGGAACTGATAGAGATATTAAAATAAGAATACAAAAGGCAAGAGGGGCTTTCATAGCACTAGGGAATTTGTGGAGGTTAAAAGAAATACTAAACTAAAAATTTTTAATTCTAATGTCAAATCAGTACTATTGTATGGGGCGGAAACATGGAGAACAACCAAGGCAATTACTAATAAATTACAGACATTCATTAACTGGTGCCTGCGCAGAATAGAGGGAATAAAATGGGATGATAGAATAACTAATGTAGAACTTTGGGAGAGAACTAAACAGGCTCCAGTGGATCAGGAGGTGAGGAAAAGACGCTGGCGTTGGATAGGGCACACACTGAGAAAACAGGAGAACAGCATAACTAGAATGTCTTTGCATTGAACCCACAGGGGCATAGGAATAAAGGAAGGCCATAAAACACATGGAGAAGAGAGCTGGAGAATGAGGTTAGAAAGATTGGGAGGACATGGGGAGAGCTCCATGTAATGGCGAAGGATAGAACGACTTGGCGTGAGTTGGTTGAGGGCCTATGCTCCATTGGGGGATAGAAAGGCAGAAGAAGAAGAAGAAGAAACATCACATGTAACATAAATGATATCATGAACTAAACATCACATGTAACATTTATATTGTGTGTTACATTTCAATTTCTAGAAACCAGACTCCCAAGAATGGGGCAGTAGCCTGGATGCTTTGACATCTGCTCTACAGCTACACAGGAGCCTGAACCAGTCACTGTTAGATCTACATCATGTTGCAGAAAATAGTAACGATGCACAGGTATGATGACGATGTCTGTTCGGAAAATGAGTTCAGTTCAGTGGTCTCCAGCCTGGGGAGGGTTTGGGGCATTATTAGGTTTTAACAGGGGTGTTGAGTAGTTTTGAAAGTGAGTGCATATGTACATGTTTTACAGTGCTTACATTGTGTTTTAGTTTAATTATAACTAAAATATATTTGTAAAACTATTTATTAAACAAAACGACAAGGACATATTTGTTATCTTGAGCCGTTCATACATCCACTGTTGATGGGAGTCTTGCAGTATACTTAATGAGGGTGTGGTAGTCTTGCCATATACTGGGGGGGGGGGGGAGTTGGGCACCAATGTCTTAGTCCATATTGTCACAGCGACACATGATCTCTTATTATCTGCTAGACCATAAATAGTTTTTTGGCATGGCCAAGGCTGTTTTTCTAAAAATAAAGGTGCTGGTGGTCACTACAAAGTGGCTGTTACAGCATCACTTGAAAAAATGATACCTGTAAAGTTGCCAGTACTGTATACCATTGTGTAAGTAAAAAAAAGTAAAGTAAAGTTCCCTTTTCCCGCCTTTCGGCGCATCGGGCATATGGGCAGAGCGTCCCATATTTTTACAGACCATCAGCACTCTGTGGGTAATGTGGTCAGCATTACGCCGGCTGTCTTTACTTTCCCAGGACAGCCCATCCTGGTACCCATTTTAGGCTGGGTCGACCTGCGACGTCCCTATACCACGACAAAAATCCACGCAGCCAGCAGTGTACCATCTGAAAAAGCCTTGGGAGTGGTCCATTAGAATGTAAGCAGGTCTTGATTCAGCACAGGACGTATACATGTGCAGGGATTAGGTATAAGGCCACATTGTTTTAATATATTTCCTTGTTTAATTCTAATAAATTGCCAGCAGGGCTACTGGAGGCCATTGTAGCAATGTAGCTAGTAAACTTCTTCTGTTAAATTGGCAGTCATGGCTTTAAATTCTCATTGTCCTCAAGTGGGTTCATGGGTCCAGTTGTAGGAAATAAAAATATCCACCCACTATCTCCCCAACAATCATGTCATAGGTGTCCACTAATTGGGGGCATCCTTTGAAGTCGGAGTACATCTGCCTTAGATGCAAAGAACCAAGTGTCTGCTCACAAATAAGCCTTTGTGAAACAGGTGTGCAAGGAACACTCAAGTTCTGGAACCAGACTAAAGTCTGGAGGTGGACAAACACACAGAACATTCTGCTGGAATTTATAGCCAATGAACATGAAGAAGAAAAAGAAATTCCCATTTTGTTAAGTTAAAAACTGACTGCTCCCTGGTTGACTTCAGCTGCATATAGATGCTAAAAATATTCTGGGAAGTAAAAGAAAAGCGGGGGGGGGAGGGGGGGGGGGTGGTCACATCATCGATTGACTGCTGGCTAGGCTATAAAAATATGGAACTTGCATCACCATCAAATGCTGATTACCCTCAGGGTGGGAAAAGATACTGTACATTTTTTTTTAAAAAGAAAGCTTTAATTGGTAATTGAAATTTGTTACTGTTAATTTATTAACGTGTTACAGCTTGGGGACTTCATTGAGGGTGAATTCCTGGCAAACCAAGTGAATGCCATCAAACAGATGACGGATTTGATTGCTCAACTGAATCGTGCTGGCAGTGGACTAGGTGAATACTTGTTTGACAAGGAGACTCTACAAAAACTGGCATGAAAACTCTACACAAGGTTTTGGCAGAGTAGAGCTTCACTTCAAGAAATGATTATACATCTTGTTAGAGCTGAATATTCATAGTAGATTTTCTGTTCATTTGCCAGCCAAAATATATATTCAGTTTATTCAATGTTTGGTGTATATATGCTGATATATCTGCATACTTGGGCATAATCAAAGAGGGTAAGTGTAATATTGTTAGTAAGATATTCAAATCAATGTGTGTCTTTTTACAATTTTTAACCACAGAATTGATGTTCTATGCAGCTGACCTTGAGACATACTGCTGTATTGTATGTTTTCTAACATTTATTTAGAGTAGTTCATGTACGTTTTGATTTTACATTATGATTTATTTTCCATGCACGTTTTGATTTTACATTATGATTTATTTTCCAGACCCCTTAGTCACAATTGCCTCTTCTTAGAATATGGGAGTTAGTTCTGTGTATGTTTACAACTTTTTATCACAGTATTGATGTTCTACACAACTGACCTTAAGACATACTGTTATATTTTGTGTTAGTTACATATGTTTTGATTTTACATTCTGATTTACTGTTCTCTGAACCACAGTTTGACTTTTTCATTCTTATATCTTCTTCTCATCTCAGTTGCACTGTGCCTGTCTCCAGCATGGCTGCAAAAGTTACACCTTTCAGCCAACACTTATGACATCTTCAGGCAGTTATTACCTGTGTAAGCCTTACCTGTTTCATGTTTTTTTTTTATATAACCTATAATTTGGAGTTGATTTTTGACTTGATTTCCTTCCTCATAGACCATCTTTCACGTCCATAAAAAGAGATAAATACAGACGGTAGAGATGATTCTAATAATACATTTATGAAAAGATTTGCATTTCATCAGCAGGTAAATTAAGTGTCCATTTCTCAAAATGTGAAGAAATTAAGTAAATTCTATATGTGATTGTTGTTTGGCAAAAGCAACTTGTATAAACTGCCAGGCATTCTTCTTTACTTTTTTTTCTACTCTGTTACTTGATGATCTAACAGTAATTTTTGTTACTTGATGATATACAATTAATTTTTGATAAACGATTTCTTGACTTTTAATACACTTTGATTAAAGTATTACTGTGTGTATTTGTCTGATGATTAGCTGTTTCAGTTGCAAGGAACACATCACATTTTTGTTACTTTCTGTTCATATGAAATAACTTTCTTACCTTCTTGTACACCGGCCAGTTATTATATTAGCACACTCTGCGCCTGTTGTTAATTTTCTTTCTTCTGTCTGAGGAGTACTGTCTGGATTTTTTCACCGGGTCACGCTGGTGTGTTGGGAAATGAACAGACCGACAGACTTGCCGGCTCTGCAAAACTTGATGGAATACTGCTACATGATAGGGCAGACGTGGTTAGTGCCTTGTGGGAGAGCGTAGTGATCAGTTCAGGCAATCTTATTGTTCACCTGCTCTTCAAGGGCCTTGACCACATCAAGCTTGCCTTTAATCAAATCAGCACCTAATGTATTAGTACCAGCAAGTCTATCTGCCTGCTCATTTCCCAGCTCACCTGCATACCCTGGAGAATATACTTGAAGGGTCCTAACTACCGGGGAGCTCTGAGGCAATGCTTGCCACTCTGAACGAAGAGTGTCTCTTTCATCACACTTTGTTAGTCTGTCACAACCATTGTTTGTGTATGAAGCTGTACTCTAGAGAATTTACAACCTGATGCCTCCAAATGACAGCATTGTTTTACTGAAGGGACAGGTGTACTTTTTACATGGCTAAGTAGACAATCCTCAAAATGGACGATAGGCATGGTCACTGTTTTAATTGTGGCAAATTTTTTGCCTCTGGCAGACAGTTGCTGTTGCATTTTTCTCCATTTGTAAATCGAAAGGATATAGTTTTGTTGCCCAGCTAAGTTGAGTGCATGTCTCAACACAGTGCGCGGTGGATTTATTATGGAATGTTTTTCAGCTGACCAATGGTGTTGTGAACTGTTGATTAAAAAAATGGCCCTTGGCCTGTTGCCACAATATTGGTGGTGCCTAGTGTGATTAAAATTGATTGAGTCTGCAACTGCTGATCCATTTATAACTGCTGCTTCCATTGATAATGATCTGCATTTCTAATGTCGGACTGTTTGTGTTAGCACTTCTGATGGCTGCCTTATGGTTTTAAAACATGGACATGCTGAGACTTCATTCTTAGTGTCTTTTGTTGGCAAAGGAGCTGATCAACTGTGGGGTGACCTGTTTGCTAGGAAGCTGAAACAAAGATGTGTGTTGTTGTGTTCACTTTCTGATTTTCACAGAGAGACAAGTTCTTGTGATAAACTTTTTTTTAGGAGTTCCCTTTTAGTTCCATGCAGTGTTGACTTAGTGAGCCAGTATTCCCTTCCTAATGGGCTGTACAAGGGTCATTCTTGCAGGACATGTTCTGTAGTCTGCACACACAGCCCACACCGACACAATGGTGAACTACTTAGACATAGCTTGTGCATATGCTTGTTAAGTTTGTTATGTCCTGTCCTGAGGCATAGAATGATTATCTGTCCATTCCAGTCAAGTAAGTGGTGGTCATCTCTGGCTAGATTCTGTTCACTTCAAATAGACTGGATGACCCTTCTCTTCTCAAATTATGTTACTGCATTCTCTTCCTGTTCACATTCTGCACCTTTCTTAGCAATTTATCGGTGGTTTCATTTTCTGGTATACCACTGGTGTACCGTGTGCTTTTAGCAGCCAACTTGCCAAGTTCAGATCTCAGGTGAAGGAGTTTACTACTCTTGAGAGCTTGGAGCACCAGTAGCGCATTTGTGAAGATGACAGAACTAAGACTGTTAAAATTCCTCAACCCTATGTGGTCACTATAGCCTTCAGGTTTTATATAGTGTGTGTCCCCTGACTTCTACTTGTTTGCTGATCTTTTCCCATTTGCTGGCTGTAAACTCTGGAAAGTTCTGGTTGCTTGTCCACTTCCAGGCTGGTTGTATGCCAGAATTTGAGTTTGCGTGCACATCCGTTTTACAAATCTAAAATATTTGTGTGCAGACTGGGAGAATGAACCCATGAATTTATTTCTCATGCTAGAAGAAGAAACAGTATGCACAAAAAATCTATTTTTAAACCGAAAAATGCAAAAGTGTATTATTAATGGCTTTGTTGTTTTTGTAACAACATATTGACAAAATTATTTATGATAGTTTTATCCAGTCAAACATTAGGGCATCTGTGTCATAGTATATTTGAAATGTGGCTTGTTCTATATTTATAGTATGTATACATTTCCAATGGGGTAAGACTTAAGTGACGTATGCAGCAATTGGATGGTTGTGGTTTATTTTATACGCCTGTAGAACATTATGCTATTTGATTCTGTTGATCGTTATCTGTGGTTAAAACTCAGTGGATAGAGCCAGCAGTTTACAGGATGTAATTTACTTTGGTGTCATATAGTACACAGATTTGATATGTTCATGTTTATTCCACATATTTATGCCAAATTGATGCCATAAAATTTTGTGTTTAAAAGTATTGTTGCCTTGGTTAATTCCCTTTCAGTTTGGTGTCAGTATTTGAAGAAAAGAAAAATTAGTTTTAATATATCACCTCTACCCTCATCCCTGATGTTGGCTACATCACCTCTGCCCTTATCCCTGATGTTGGCTACATCACCTTTACCCTCCTCCCTGATGTTGGCTACATCACCACTACCCTCATCCCTGATGTTGGCTACATCACCTCTACCCTCATCCCTGATGTTGGTTACATCACCTCTACCCTCCTCCCTGATGTTGGTTACATCACATCTACCCTCATTCCTGATGTTTGCTACATCACCTCATCCCTGATGTTGGCTACATTACCTCATCCCTGATGTTGGCTACATCACCTCTACCCCCCCCCCCCTGATGTTTTTTACATCACCTCTACCCTCATCCCTGATGTTGGCTACATCACTGCTACCTTCATCCCTGATGTTGGCTACATCATCTCTACCCTCATCTCTGATGTTGGTTACATCACCTCTACCCTCATCCCTAATGTTGGCTATATCACTTCATCCCTGATGTTGACTGCATCACCTCTACCTTCATCCCTGATGTTGGCTACATCACCTCTACCCTAATCCCTGATGTTGGCTACATCACCTCTACCCTCATCAATGATGTTGGTTACATCACTTCCACCCTCATCCCCTAATGTTGGATACATTACCTCTACCCTCATCCCTGATGTTGGCTACATCACCAACCAAGTGATTCGTAAAATATGGGTCTAACACTATGTGCCTAATCCACCTGAAGATAAAGGAATATGATCCTTTCTACCCTTATCTGTTATTAATAGTCCAAGACAGGAGAAACTTATTTCAGTAGGTCATCTGTCCCCTTCCACACTGACTAGAGGCCTACCTTCTAGCCCAAAGGTCTTGAGTTTAAATCCTTACCATGACAGATTGAAAGAAAAAATATCTGCCTCCCGGGTTGAGCCAGCCTGCAATGAGTGCCAGAAAATATCATAGGAAATAGAGACAGATAGCATTATATTGACAACATCAGCCACCAAGAGCCCAAGTTGTGTTAGGAACCTACATCCAAGCATTCAGGACATTACCATTTGCACTCTGTCCCCATCTTCAGCAACCAGGACAGTTCCAGTATTCAGATCCCTTGGTCACTCCCTGTTGCACCGTTCTCTCAAGGTCATGAGGATTTGTTTGTGCTTTTGATTTGCTTTTTGATAGAAGTCTGTTTGAAAAAGCTGGGATTTTCAAGGGGACTTGAACTTCTAGTAATTCCCCCTGGTCTCTGGGTAGTGAGATCGGACATCCGTGTGCATTGCTGTGCACGTAAAAAATCCCTTGGCATTTGGAAACTGAAAAGAGTAGCCTGACGGCGCTGAAAGGACCAAATTTGGAATTATAAATCTAAGCAAAGTATTTCAGGATCCTCGCCTGTGCAACAGAGCCTGTGCACTGTGCTGAGCGTCTTCCTACTTAGACTTGAGTTAGAAGAAAGAAT